ATGCGCCGCGGCAGCAACCTGGCAGCCAGTTAGCCTAGGCCTGCGCCACGACTACGGCGACGAACGCGACGATTTTTCTCGTCCATCGAGCGTGCTCCATCGGTCTCTGCACGCCTCCCCTTCGAATCCTGTCGGCGTTTACGTAATTCAAGGCTTTTCGAGAGAATGACGAACCGTGGAGAAACGACCGAGCGGACGCATCCGCTTCGGAGACGAATCCTTGCGGGACGGAGTCTCGAATGATCGTTAAAGGACAATGTCGATGAAATGGTTTTTCTAAGAAATCGTTAGAAGCGTCGTAGGCACTCGATCTCCGAGATTTCCTGTTCAGCGAGATATATGGTATTTTAACGAATGGCGTACGATTTTGGCTACGAGTCGGTGCAATTCGCGGCTCGAGAAGTGTACCGGATCCGCTCAGAAACTAATCCGACGTCCGCGTGGCCGGTTCTGGTATCTCGAATCGAGGAGAGGTCTGGCATCGCCATATAGAGTCAGCAGCGCCGAAAGAAGAGAGTACAGAGCGGCGATGCGTTTCGGTGCGTAGCTCGCGTACCGGTCCGCATTCGTTCGGATTGCAGTCGATCGGTGCGTGTATGGAAGCGGGCAGCCACGCGTGTTCGCGCGTGTGCGTGCTGCAGGGGTGAGCGCGAGCGCGACCGCGTGCTCTCGCTTCGTCGATACTCACGATATCGTCGGAGTTGGTGTAAGTGCGTGTGGACGGGCACCAGGAGCACGGGTATGTGGCACAAGGCCGACATTAGCATCTCTACCGGTATACCCCCTACCATTTCACGTCGTCGTCACGGCACAACTCTATCCGCAGAAACCTGTATTCCGGTTATCTTGCTTTTGCGGGAGCGGAGCGGAGACTGCCATGCGTCGCCATCGTGAGAAGGCAAAGGACCTCCTACTAAACTCGAACGCCACGGAAACCGCTTCGAATGGGCACGATCCTTCGACTAGAGAGGGAGGGGAGATTTTTCGACGGACCCTTTCGCGCGATAACGGCGGTATTCGCGCAGTTATCTTCCGCGACACCACCGCCGAAAGGAGGAGAAAGGATTCTTTGTTCCTCGCGGTTTTCTCGATTCGTTTTCGGCCCGTGCTATTATCCTCGACATCGTTGGATTTTCACCTGAAACATTCTCAGGCTTCCTTCCGTTTTTCCCCTCTTTAAATAACCGATATAAAACGCTACGCCGCGAACCTTGCAACGTCTCGCGTCCGGGCACGCATCGTATGACTTTCAAAGAAATTTCGCTCGCGGATTTCCAGGTCGTCGTCGCGAATCAACGGTCCAATCGACTCTCGAGTAGATGGAATCCACGCGTCTGATAAGTAATGGGACATCCAGTGACACCTTAACCTGGATGACCGCCGCCGTACGTGCTGAAATCTCGCGCGAGCGAACCAATCGCTCGCTGAATTAGCCGTTGGACGCGAATTGACGAGATTCTAGCGCGCGTTTCATTCTCGATGAAACACTAGCTGCCGTCTAACGAGGAGATACGCTCCTCGTCGTCCCCGATGCGTCGCTATCTTCCCCGTCGAGACTCTCCATATTTTTCATCGATGAGAAAAACGTGAAACGTAAATTCTTCGTTGCATCGTAGTATATAGTTCGATAGAAGAAAGAGAGTCGTAAATACAAACAAGTCGAAACGCGTCGTTAAATATTTGATAGATACACTCCCGATCGGTCAGCGTCACTCGAAGCGTTAAGATTTTGATCCGGCCGAAAAGATATCCATTGCGATAAGAGAACGAATTACCCCGGCACTCGTGTACCAAAAATTTCGCGAGAATGGAGGGTGAGGGAGGGGGTAAGGTTTATCCGTCGATCGAGAAGCGTCGATAAAGAGCGCGGGCCGCTGGACAGAAGCTCTTTAAGGAATCGCCATGCGTCACTGCGAAACGAGCATAATATCGGGCTGCGTTATCGTCGGATGCACTTTGGGCTCGCAATTCGGTGCCCCACTCGACGGTACAAAGAGTTCGTTTACCCCGTTTAGACGTGTGAGCGAGGCCAGCTGCTATCGGTCGATTCATGCGCGACATTCGACGGGAACCGAGAGGGACGTGTCGTGAAACCGTCAGGGACGGAACAAGGAGAGGGAAAGCCGAGAGTGCGACGAGATAAAACTGAATTTAAGGCGCGATCGGGGACCCTCTCGAGAACAAACAGAACTGCGACGTCTAGACGATCGTCGCAGATATACAGGGCGTTAATAAATATCGGAGACACTTTCGCTGGATCGATCCTACGCGTCAAAACAATTACTGAAATTCACTCGTGCGCCGAGGAGTCCGATGACGACACGCGACCTTACGAAATGCGAGTACCTACGAGCCGTCGCGCAACCCATCGACGCGAACGTGGGACGACTCATTTGTAAATACCGGTTATAAATAGCTTCCTGTAAGGTACTTTCGTTGCTCGATTAAAAAAAAAAAAACAAAAAAATTAGAATATTTAATTAGCGACAGAAGACGTTAAATTTTGTCCCCTCGAGCCGTTTACCTGCGCGACCATTGAAAACGAACGACCCGAAAGAAATCGTCGACGCATCGTGACGATCAGCTGACGGGAGGATGCTAATGGGACAGCGCGGGACGCACTCGAAACCCTCCTTTTTATTTTTGCAGTAAACACGAGTACGTATTAAAACGAGAAACTGGTTTGGTCGTACAGGCGGCTGGATGGCCTCCCACGCGTTCCTCGTCTCCGTTATTTCATCAACGAGGGAACGCGCTTTCTGCGTTCGCTTCGTGGCGATCGAAAAATAAATCGTCTTCCCCCAAATATCCGCCCAGTCGGTTCTCGAGGACGAATCACTTTTTTTCTGGTATCATTTTGGATGGCGTCAAATTTTTGTCGCTTCTAATGCGTAGCTTACTTTTCTCATCCGTGAATTTCATTCGCGTTCCACGTGGATCGTCGGGTTAAAAAAGTTACAGGATTTCAGGCCAGTCGATACGGCTATTCAAAACCTTGAATACAAACACGAAGTCGGCTATAGGTTTACGGCACTCGAGTGTAACCAGACCGAGAGTCGTGAGAATCGAGTCGCATACGCGGCACATGTTCGGAATGGATTGTCCAAGTTCATACGTACATGTAGCAAAACGCGTGAACTCGCGTCTTTCGATTTTCTCGTTAATCGAATACGTTTGATCGTGTTCCGAGTATTATATTCAAACATCTTTCCGATGGTCTCGTGATTGGTTTTCACGCGAGCTGAACGTAAGGGAGAGAAAAGAAATTCCGAAATCTTGCGTAAGTATAAGTTAAAGTTGCCGAGTCACGCGAGCGTAGGTCGCGCATGGCCGAGGATGCAGATCGGTTGGAATCGATCGGCGAATCTCCGGTCGAAGAAGGCGAAAGCGAGTGGATCGTCGAGTCGATTTATCGCGACGCAGAGGAATACGTGATCCGCACCTGGTCTGGTGGACCGTTCGACGTCGAGTGACGTTATCATCGCCGAAATAGCGCATCGATAAGGTCGTCTCTCGGACACGCGGCCAATGACGCGGCTGTTCCCGATAGAATTCCATTAATCGGGCTTACGACGATCGGTCGGGATGCGTCGGCTGTCTGGGGACGCCGGCGGGGGCGTCTTTATTCATGGTTTAATTATATTCCCGGCAAACGGGACCCGTCGAAATATAATGCAATCTTATCGAGCGACAGACACGTGAGTACCTCTTCGTTGCTGCCAGATAACGGACGTATTTTGGCGGTCTGGCGGACAGACGGATACCGATAAAAGCCTATCCTCCTCGATTTCGGGAAAAGCAGCGAGACAAACACCTCCCATCGACTCCACGCCGAGACGTTATCGCCAAGATCGATTCCTAATTGTTCCAACGCGACGCGATCCAACGACCACGTGTACGTACAAACGAGACGAGACTTGCAGCAAGATTACTATTACTTTCTATATTTTGGCCTTCAGCTTCGACCGAACGTTTTACGCGGACGCGTACATTCGATATTATAAATACGACGGATCAACAGTCCAGAGATCTTTGATACGTGCGTCGATTAACGAATTCGGTGTTACGATATACACGAGAACAATGATTAACACTTCGCTTGATTCGATTAACGAACGACGCGGCCTACCGTGGCCACGGTAGCTTGCTCCGTTAGCTTTGTTTTCGACGGCCTTTGTTCTTCTTCTTATTGTTTATTCATTAACTGAAATATCCTATCGGGTACTGTAAGTACGAGAAAGTAGATTGGTTTCTGGACAAAGCTGTCTAATAATTAACATTCTAGCTACGTATGCATCAGCGTACGAATGCAAGAAAGATATTTTTAAAGTATGTGACACAAAATGAGAAAAAATTAGTGCTATCGCTCGAGGTGTAAATAATGATACACATCGTTATTCTCGACGGGATTACGTTATAGAACTAGACACAGATTTATTTCTATTTGTGGTTTAATCGGAGTCGCGTCGAACGAGCGGCCATTGCGTTAAAAAGTTGTTAAACAGGTTGTGCAAAAAGAAGAGAAAAAAAAAATACAATCGATTACAGAAACTAGCGAGCATGAAACTAGGCATCGCTGAGTAAAAAAAAAAAGCTCATAAACACGATCTAACGATCGGACGGCCGCGTATTCGCGCACTTGAACGTTCGATTGAGACGTTAACGAGGCGCTAATAGAAACTTTCGCTGCAATAGATTCTTAGCATTAATGGATCGATTAATCAAAAATGACTCTCAGCCTTGGTGCATTCGTTATATAACTTTCTTGGCCACGACGACGGCTGCCCTCGTAGAACACGTTTGTAGAATTCGAAATTAATAGTACGTAACGTACGGCCAGAAGCGATATCGAAAATATCGATTAACGCGACGAAGTTAAATTTACGATTATTAAAAATAATTCCACCCTTCGTTTTTATTTCTCGAAGTGCGTTTCGTTATCCGACGTTTATGTGGATCGACTATTCGTTTGCTGCGAGATCGAACGATCGTCGATCGAGCGAACGGGGAGACGTAGAGGGAAGAGCTTGCATATACTTGCATCAACGGTTGGCGTGGGCGTTGGAGCGCATCGGTGGTGGTGTTCGGCGCAGGCGAGGCAGAATTTGGACCACCCTGTAGCGGAGGAGTGAGGTAGGTTAGTGAATCGACGGGTGCTATCTGGATGCACGGAACGTGCAGACGGCCAGTACGGAACAACATGTCCGAGTCAGCGAAACAGAGACACTTTAAGCAAAGCTGGCGAATCAGCTTCGCGGCCGGCACTTAAAGTGCGCTTTCCACGCACGAGGTGCAGTTTCTCCATCGTGCACGCGATATCAGAGTTCAACGACGCTGGGCTCCGCCGACGGCCCTAAACGGCCCATTTTCGTAGGAACTGGAGACGGAGCGGCTAAGCCAGCCGAATAAAAGTGTCTGCGCGTGTGTTGGGAAACGTTAAGATCGCGAAACGTGTGCGCGCGTCTAGACGCTGACGATCCTCGAGCTGACTAAGAACAACTCGCCGAATTCAAATATTCGCCCTCTCGGATTTCCAGGCTCCCTGGTTTGCCGTTTTATATTTTTCTGCGTGCGTGTGTATTTGTTTCTTTTCTTTTTTTTTTTTTTTTTTGTTTTAACGAGGAAACTCGCCAAGTATCGGGAACAGCTCGCGAAAGAACGAACGGAACTCGTGCTCCGAACCATCGAGCACTCGTTATTTGTTGAAATAATAGAAATCATTTCTTTCCGCAACTCAACGAACGTGAATTTGGTTTTAGATATAAAGAAGGCTTACGTAATCCTTGCATAGCAGTTGGATCCATCTTTTGCGCGATCGACACGATATCGAACGCGGTGAAAATTATCGGATGCCAGATAACCCTTTTTACCAGCTAGTTCTTATCGTTTATCGAATGGTACTTAAAGTGCGATATCCATCCAAGTGCAGTTTCTGTATTGTGCGCAAGGGGCGAAGATTACCACGGCAGAATTTTCGCGGTGTTCGATTTTAGTCGAATTTTTCGGCAGCCAGCGACTCTCGGCGCGATCGAACGTTGTTTTCGACGACGTTTCGAAAGTGAATAACCCGTAACAATTCGTTTGCCGCGCGAGTGCAACCGATAAACGTATCTGACGCATAAATCAACCTTTACATTGAAAACACCGACTTCTGTGTGTTGGAGGAACGAAAACAAGTCGCGGCGGGAATCTCGAAAGACGAAGTGCGCCGCGTCTTCGGGTTTTAATTGTTGGTATCGCGTGGACGGGATCGATGGATTACGGTTAACGCGTTCCAGTGCATTTCGAAGTGTTCGAGTACACCGTCGACGAATTTGATCCCTTTTCGCGGAAAAAGGGCACGCGTATCGATAACACGTGCCCAAAGCAAGAGAACGTGGAGTTTTACGCGCAGTGGGACGTCCTGTTTTGGCCGACGATCAGCCAGAAGTTCGCAGCTGTGTACACATCGAGAGAACCCGGTGAGTATTTTGCTGCAACTTTCCTATTGCATCGAACGCTCGATCGTTAACTATAGCACCGCTTCTGAAACTTTTTTCAGTCGCGACCCCTTTTTATAACACGAAATTATTAACCATCCCCAGTTTTACGAAGCCTATAGATGCCGTGAAATACGAACTCGACCATCGCACGCGGATCGATGACCATTTTAAAAAACGATACGTCATTTTTGACGAGCCTAATCGAATATTGTAAGAAAACAAGTTTGTTTTTCAACCGTTCAATCGCGTTCAACGATTGTCTTCGAGCGAGCGAGTAGTTTAGTAATCTATTGGTTTAGTAGTCACTGGGCCCCTCGCAGCTCGGGTATCTCGGGATTGTTAAACCCGTACCGTAGCTACTATCGAACGTAGCTACAGCCCCTGAAGGTACGAATTAGTTCGATCCTTTTATTTAGTATACGAGGAAATTTAAAAGCTGAACGAAAGCAACCTTCGAACCTTGTCTCACCGAGACAGAACAAAGGCGCGATATCGAGCGCGTTGCTCGTGGCGGACTCGCAAACATTAACATCAACTTATACAAAGGAACAAATGTCTAATACATTCTTCGACGCTGTATCAATACGAGAACTTTCGTACGCGTTACTTGGTCGACAAAAATTACGCGATGAGGTAGCCCACATTCGGTGGTGACGTTATCGTGGTCGCGTAAACGGTGTTATTCGTAGATAGGGGGACAAGGTGCGCATCCACGACGCCGGTGCATGCGGAGATAGTCGGATAAAATTCCACGCGTCGTTGCACCGTCGTCAAATTGAGTTTTGCGCGTCAAGATTCGTGGGATTTATGCGTTTGTGTTGGTGATCGTTTATTATCGGAGCCAGCTACGTATTGACTCACCTGACTGTCGCGAGTGAGTCACAGCCGTAGTCGGACGGCTCCAGATTGTCGTTGGACGCGTTGCGATCGGCAGGCGCTCGACCTGGTAAGATCGCGAGGCGCCAGGATCGATGTTACCAAAACAAATTCTCGACAAGGATTCCTATCATCGAGTTTTCAATCGAGCGCATTATGCAACGGAAAATGAACGCGCATAGCTGAAAATGGTGTTTCAATTCGCATAGTCGCACGAGTCGTGCGGTACAGTCGAATCGAGGCCGATTCCGCGTGCACTGCATTGGGATAGGTCGTCGCGTGTTCTGAGGGACAGAGGGCGCTTTGTTCCAAGAGTGCCCCGAGCGCGTAATCACCGCGCCGGACCGCTCTTCCACGTTCCTGCCATACGCGAGTTCCGTCCCTCCTCTGCTCTTTCCCACAGCCTGACGATTCGTCCCCCGACAAAACCTGTCGGTCCTCTAGCTACGATCGCAATTCCAGCATCGGTTACCCTTCCTCTTTTTCTCGTTTGCAACCCCTAGGAGTCAGGAATCATTTTTGGTCTCGCCACCGACTCCAAAGGACTTTCGCAACGAGACCTAACGCTCCACGCGATTCGTGCATGAATCGAATAATTATGAATTGTAAGAGTCTAAACGAAAAATAAGGCACGGGGATTCGAAGCCACGATCCTCGGATCCACAGGATTGTACTTGACCTACGCGACCAATCCCGTACCCTACGTTTCCTGTTCTTATTTGACTCCGTATTGTTGGGTATGAGTGGCGCGGATACTACAGAATTGTACCAACGATGTTCTCCTTTCGAGTAAACGCGATACAGTAACGAACCTCGCGATGTACCCTAGGACTCGATTCGGATCCCCCGACGTAATCTGTACCCGCGAAATATCGGAGTCGGTCGATCCCACGGTCGCGCAGAGTCGAGAGGGCCGCGATTCGTGAATCAGCCGGTAGCGCGTACAATACGCGAATACACAGAGACTCGGGGCCATTGAAAGGCAGCGAGGCAAACGGGAGAAGAAGAGGGTGAAGCTAAAAAGGATAAAAAGAGGTGGGGGTAAAATGAGGGACGGAGAGGGAAGGAGAGAGCGAAAGCGGACGAGCAGCGAACGCGAACACGAACTGCGAACGAGAGTGAGAGCACTCGGTGCAGCAGTATTTTCGGGTGACCGTGGCCCTGCCCTCGGGACTGGATCGTTTGTGTGCCACTCGGTGCATTCTACCCGCACGAGAGCGCTCGTTGGCGCGCGCGAGTGTTGCGTGTACGTGTGCGATGCACCAGGGCACACCGGCGCATTTATATTTGGCTGGAGGGCGGAGTAGGTTCGAGGGCGCGCTCGCGAGCGCTATCGCGGTTTTACGCGCGTGTTGCGTCGGTGTGATCGCGCGGACAGTATACGGAAACCTCGCGCATGCTATGCTTTTTGCGTGGACGCACGAGGAGAAGGAGAGAGAGGGGGTCAGCGGTTTCGTCGGGTTTATTATTCGGCACTGTACACCGAGTTAACCCAGGTCAGTGTAGTAAAAAAGCTACACGTTCGGCGAGTTCGCGGTACCAGAGCGCATCGAAGCGAGAAGGTGCCCCGGAACGCGAGAGAGGGACGAGGAAAGAAGAAGCTTCGGGCACGCGTGTGCGAGCTACTTACGCGCACGTACGAAACGCACACCCGTGCGAAAGAGTAAGCGCCCTCGTATGCACGCCTGCCACGAATAATCGTGCGCGACACATCCGCTGCCGAACCAGCCTGTTCGACGCGACGAGTACGCTCGAGTGCAACCAACTTTTCACGCGATCAACGATATTCTCGATACGGCACGACCGTTGAAATCGATCAAGGACGAGAAAACGTTAATAGAATAGCCGAAAATTATTTTGCTCTTTTTCTATTCAACCTGTTCACTGAAGCGTCTATCTTTAAACGATTTAAAATTCAAAACAATCCCCAACTTTTCGCCGAAACGACGGTGCTCGACTAGATTCCCGAGAAGAGGGAAAGTCGATAGTCTGAGTGAACTCCAAGTCCCGAAAGCTCGCAGAGCGCGGAGAGAAAAAGAGAGCCCGAGGCCGAGAGGCGGGCGTGCCAGGGTGAAGAAAGAGGCGAAATTGGTTTCGCGGACGAAGAAGGGAGACGGAAGGATCGTGGCAGAGGTGGGTCGGTAGTTTCGCCAGTTAGCCGGGTTTAAAACAGCTGCCAAATTTCCCTCTCGGCCGAGAGAGAGTGAGAGTGACCCATCGAGAGCGAGTGTGTTCCATATCGCGTTTCGCAGCGATACAAGCCGACGCGGCGCAGCCGGCTGCACTTGCACATGCACGCTGCGCATACAGATGCACGGTCGTGTGCAGACACGCACGTGCACCGATGCAGCCGGTCGAGCCATTTGCGCGCATCCATGCGCGCGCTCCTACATGCACGACCACGGTAGTAGACCGAAAGCGATGCACGGGCCCGTACGCGTCTGCCACTCCTGCACGTGTGACCGTGCAAATGGCGCGCGCGCGCACACACACGGGGAAGCACGTGGCAAGTTTCGAGCGCGTTTACGCGCATACAGCTTCGCACGATCTCTGTACGTGAACACGGAACGAGCGCCGGTGTGCTCGTCGGTGGATGCAACCCGAATACGCGCGTACGCCCGACGACGCTTTGCAGCGAGGCGTCTCCGTGTCTGCATGCATATCAGATGCATCCAATGCACGGGACCTCGAGACCAGACTACGATAACCAGAAGACGCGACTCGTTGGGATCAATGAAATCTTCTCTGACTGTCTTCTACGAGCTGTCTTACGCTAGATCGTCTCGCGTCTATCGTCTAGCCCTTAAAATCAAACGATTCGAACGATTACTACGAAGCGCGTTAAATTATCTATCACCTGTTAAGCGTCATTCTCGAACACCATTCACCATTCGCAAGATGGTACCACTTTCGAACTCGTTTTACCAATTTAACCAACGCGTTATTACAAGACTATCTTTCGTAGCATTTAAGCATTTCTGCAGACCCGCTCTGACCCATATGCCGTGTCGTCGGCTAACCGAGTAAGATCGAATAAAAACGTTTCGGAACCCATTTTAACAGCGTTTGTACGCAGCCAGAGCGACCATGTTCGCCTGTTGCATTCAAATCGTTTGAAAGATCGTGAGACCGAGGGCGGTGCATGGAAAGCGTCGAATCCTAGCTGCGATTTGCAAGGAATGCGAGAGGAAAGGTACGCCATAATATCTCGGAGGATGCGAGAGGCGATTCGTTTTTTAAAAAATTGCTTCCTGGCGCGGAGCTTTCAACTACAGCACAATTTGGCGGACGAAGGCCCAAGTCGACCATTGTATTAGCTTGCGAAACGAGAACATAAAATATGTAACGTTGCATGTCTTGTTAGAGAGGGGAGAAAGAAGAAGAGTAGCGAGGTTGGAAGAGCTGCAATCCTAAGGCTGGAAGAAATACAGTTAAACCAGGGAGAGAACGCGTGACAAAATTGATCTCGATACGTGGAAGCACGACGAGGAGGTACAGAGATTTAGACAAACTATAGCGATTGGAGCTGTTGCGGTAAGCAGAGATAAATTGTTACACATTTCAGCGTCGAAATTGAATTAAGGTTGCCGACCGTGAATCGATAACCCCGAATCTCGAGATAGAGATCACATCGGTTGGCATGATGCCAGAGATTCCGCGCGCCGGCGACTCGTGAAACACCCGACGCGCTGGCTCGCGTATCCACTCTCGCAGGTCATTCCACGGCAAATCGAATACTTTTGTACTTGACGTCGACGATTTCAAATTTAAATATGTCGGAGTTTGTGCGAAAGTGGAGAAAGATCGAGTCATCGTTTTGAGACATACAGATTCTCGAAGTTGACGGTTTTAAAATTAGGTAAAGCACCGTATTTAATCTATTTAATCTATTTTAGAGTTTGAGTATCCTAGACCACACGAAGCGTTGATACAAAAATTCGCTCCTTACTTCTTAAACGGTTTAGAAAACAGCAAAACGATTACTAAAACTTCATGTACTTTCGCATAGACCCGAAAACAATTTAATACAAAGTCCTCGAGGTGGAATACGAAGGAGATGAATTACGGCTTCTCTATGGTCTTCCACTCAAGGGACGTCCTCGGAGATTGGAGTTCTTTTCGTCACGAGGCGTTTACGGGACGAAAGCTCGCGACTGCGGGATTTGGGGCTCGAAAATGCGGAGATTCGTTGGATCGTGGCAGGAATACGTGGGTACCGCGGGAAGCCGGGCTCCTCTCGTCTCTCTCGTTCGCCGGTCGTCTGGCCATATTTTGGCGATACCTACTTGTTGCGCGAGAAACGAGCCGCGCGTACCTAGCGTACATATGTACCGTATGTACAAACTCGCCTCTACATACCGCGAGTAGATAGACCGCATCGGCGGCGCGGTTTGCTCTTGGCACAGGTACAAACGAAGTCAACGACCGGGAATCGAAATAATTTTGCTGTTCCTTCGAAACGTCACCGTCGCCCGTGAACGATTTAATCGATGTCGCTTTGTCGCAGCCCGCGATTCGATCGTTTCATCGACGCTTAATCGAATAACGCGCTCGATCGTCGAGCGCGGCCCGCTAAAAGACTCGGTTAACCGCGTTTCGTCGTTATTAACGGCTAATTTCCCGAAAATCATCGAGGGCGCAGGGACGGCCTTCGGCGCGCTTAATTCGCCGGAAATCCAATATAACATAAACCTGATTTTAGCTTTGACCAGTCGGAAACGAGCTTACTTTACTCCCCTGTCGATTTTAGCAACGTTCGGGCCCGTAGGTCTCTTTGTTGTAATCGCTTCTCTATGGTAATCGGCCGGGACGATAATTCCGTTGAATGTTTTCGATAACGGAAATCGACGTGAGCAGAGTTGGTTCGAAATTCAACCGGTTCATCCGTAATTCGCCGCGCGTGCACGCTCCAGCGGAACGGTGTGCAACGATAATGTAAACATGTGAAATGTAACGATCCGTGACGTTATCGTTTCTGCAAGGGCCGATCGAATCGCGGCGCGTTGAACGACCAACGGTTGGAAAAGTAGAAGCGTTCGGGGCATCGGTGACGCGGTGTCGAAAGTATTTTTAAAATAGTTCGATATTCGTTGGCAATTAAACAGCACGGATAACGGACCACTCGTGCGTTCGACCGAGTATGTATAGCGGGGGCTCCAGGACGTCGATCTCTTCCGCAAATCCAGATAAGAGGATTCCTCGAATTCGAAATAAACTTGGCTGGCTTTTGCCCGGCTAAAAAAAATGTTCGCCACGTTTTTCACGGCGCGGCGGCAAACTGTTGCTGTGACATTGGACGATCGACAGTCTGTAGCCGGTACATAAGAGGGGTGCATATACAGTTCCGGTAGACGGGGCGGTACATGCTACCGTTCCATGTATTTCGGGGGTGGCTATGTGCTAGTCAACGGACTGCCCCCACCTTATCCGACTTGGAAAATTTCGGGGGTAACCGACTGCGCTTTAAACCGGCTGCTGCTGCGCCAGCTGCCGCCGCCGTGCTCCGGCCAACCTATATATTCGGCTATGTTATATATGCACCTACATATATACTAATACCTACTGTGCATCCACTACGTAGCCAACGGCGTCGATATAAACGCGGTTACTACTTGTTGCTCTAGTCCCAGAAACTGAGAGTGGTCCGCGCGTTTCGGAGTTCTCTCGACTCTATAGGACGTTCCGCAGTGTCTCTCAAATAAGTAGTACGAAATAACGTCGTTTCAGATTATATCGCGTACAATTCAACACGATTAGGAAGTATCCGATGATTCCCAAGGAAGAACAGCTACTCTGTGACAAGTGACGTTGTATATCGCGTTTTTAACCCTTTCGCTACAGCTACCTACTCAGGGGTACCGGTGGCCGGGGTACCGCCACTGAACGGAAGCGTTCGTCGAAAGTGTAACATTGCGCGTTGTCAGGCTGCTTTTGTAGATACAGTCTTTGAAATGTTAAATGACAGCTTAATAAAACAATCGTTCCTTTCTATCAGAGAGTATCCTCATATTTCTAGTATGTAGAAAACTTTATTCAAGATTGTATCGATTATGTGTATCAATCGTAGCGTCACGTGGACGCCGGTCATATATCCGACGATCGTTTCACACAAATCGTCTCGTGGATCCCGGATATATTCGGCTATAGGTATATTCGCTAGCGAAAGGGTCCCATCGACACTTTCTCGTCTAGTTGACAACGAAGCACGTGCGATTCGATCACGGTCAAGGTTCTCCTTCACCGACCGCGGATACTTTCCTTTCGATTTTCTTGAAGATAGCGCAAAGCTGTCGCGTTTCAAGGGGACGTTAGCCTCGATCAACGTCAAAAGTACGCTCGCAACGGGGCTCGCTTCCGTTCGAGCTGCTCGTCGGAGAAAGCCCGATGATTCGCTCGCGATCAGCCAGCTATTCGCGCGAAGCACTGCTGCGCGCAAGTACTTACGTAACAACAATTACAGTGGCTGCGATACTTACGAGTGAACGTCGGTTCGTTACCGGTGTTTATGCACGCGTTACTCCGTGTCAGCGTACCTTGGACTCGCGGATCGCAGCGACCGGCGAAGACCGTTGTACCGTCTCGAACGAACGGGGGTAAAATTTTCTGGAAACAGGTTTTGATTATTTGTTATTTGGTTAATTAGGAAGTGAAAATGGTCTGTAAGCTATAAAATGAATTCGGAAGCTGTATCTTATCGATTAAAAAAATGGCAAATTATAACGTATTCGATCCAATAATTCAATTGGAAGGGACTACCCCGCGTTACCTTCGCGATGCACCGGTAATGGAAATCGTTTGTAGGATGCGTCTCGATGATCGGCCCTATTAACTTTGGTCCGCGGGCACGAATTTCCACGTCGGCGATCGCTCGAATTAATTTCGCGATAATTATATCGATTAAGCAAATTACGTAATTCCTTTTATTAGCTGGCGATGCGTATTGCCGTAACGAATAAGTGTATCAATTTCGATGCAGCATCGAAATCATTTGTTGAACGTTACCCCCGTAGTTTTCGATATTTCTCGATAAAATTCACCAGAGTTTCGAAAAGTCTCGTAAATAAATTCAGCTATTCGGGTATCGACGAGTCTGTCCCAGATTGAATCGTTGGGGTACACTGCGCGAGGAATCTCGGCGTCGACAACGCGACGCGTGACGTCGACTATGGAGCGCGAACGCGGCGATAAGCGGAGATACGGTCAAGGCCGGCTCGGATACCGGCCTATCCGTTCTCTTTCCTGCACCGCTTGCTCGACACCGGAATCAACGCCGCGGCCGTGCACGCGCTCGCGATGCGGCGTCACGCTTCGATCCCCGACGACCACGGGGAGAACGACGCCGTCGACGCCCGCCGGTAGGCCGTCCTCGAAACGGCTCGCTTCGCTTCGTTTCGTTTCTTTTCGGCTCCCCGCTCGGCCGAGCATCGAATTCGGCGCGGCCTTCGCCGAAGCGGTCGCACGGCGATTGGTCCGACTGACCCACTGCCACTGACCTTGGGCCCATCCACACACCGACAGGCTGCGCGGCCGAGCTCCACATCCGCCACTCCGTTCGACCGCAGTTTCGGCAATGCCCCACCATGCCCGAAACTTCCTTCGAGGAAACGAGCGAGAGGGAACGTGTCGCCCGACGTTCTCCGTCTGCGCGTCTGCGATAATGCGTTGCGTAATCTCTGGAACCGTTTCTCGGGTCTCGGCCGATTCCACGAATTTTTTAACTGGTCGGGAAAGACTCGCGAACGGCGGAAAAGCCGACATTTAGGTAGGGATTACGCTTTCCTATCTCAGAGAAGCCAAGTCGAATCGCCCGCACGGATAATTGGGCGACGACGCCGAGTCCAACGTAACTCGTAAAAAAGATTTCGAGCGAGGACACGGTTCGGCTCGATAAAGCGTACAACCGATAAGATCGTCATTGTCCCATGCGTCCGCCTTCCTCTCTTTCATTTTATTCGCGCACGATAAATAATTCATGTCCCTTTTCGAGGGAATAAACGTGTACCTCGCAACCTTGTCGCGCTCCTTGATCCCAGCTCGAGTGAGACAACGCGGCTGCTGTCTCGACGAACGTTCGAGGGCGCGAAATTCGTCGGTTCGGTGAAGGTTTCGCGAGGGTCAACCGAATAATCTGCGAGGGGAGGAGAACGAGTCGGCTCGAGGCACGAAAGTTTCTTTTCCGTGGGGTTCCATTCGAATCATCGTTACTCCATTTTGTACAAAGTACCCTATAAGCGATTATACGTCTCGTAATCGAATCAAATACTTCGTTTCGTCTCTATACATTTTTCGACTCTTATCTCGAGGCCTTCCCCGGTACATGCGATAAAACTTAGAAAACTGATACGATTTTGTAAAAATTCTTCAAGCGGATAATAAAATACGCAAAGTTCGCCTCTATTTTCTCACATGACACGCTTCTGTTTACAAACTTCTACGTCTATATATTATTATTCGTAAGCGTGGATACTACTTTCTTTCAGTCTTATCGAATATGTACCTAGAACGTGACATTATACTTACGTGCAATTGATACAAATGGAATGAAATGTTTGATTGGACTACGAGACACATAATTTCGACTAATACAGCCACGAACCGCCATCGTCGCGATAGAAGAGTTGGGGTCGAAGATTGGACGAGAGTCTGTGCGTTTCAGCGGCGATGAAAGATTCGGCAGGCCTCGGTCGAGTCGCCTCGTCCGGCTCGTATCTAAACCGTTCACGAAGATTTGGTGTGTGCGTGGCTCCGCCTCCTACTCCTATCCGACCCATTCTAAACAAATGAATCATGCTCCAAAATGGCCGCCTGAATTTAGACGTCACGTGGCATCGACGCGCGTGCACACACATGCACGCGTACGTGTATCCGACCGCCGGAGCAGTCCAGGCTGCGGTTACGAAGAGGGACTCTTGCATAAAATATCGAGCACCATATAGCCTGCACCCAGTACCACGAATTCTCCTTCCGCTAGTTGTGCGAATCGTAATTCGGATTCGCGGGCCACCGATTCGAGCAACAAGTATCTCTGGAGGAAGTTTCGTAGCTTTCGAACGGGTCGAAATTAGCGGCGCAGAGGGAAGGAAGGATCTGTTCCGCGCGACGTGGAATGGTGTCGCTCTAAAGTTGCGAAAAATGTGTACGTTTATAAACAGTATCCATGAACATGGAATGTTTACGTACATGTGTCCATTACTAAGCGAAAAGTTCTCCCTTCTAATCTGATACGAGAACAAATAAATTTGGGAAAGATTGGAAGACGAAGGACTTTCGAGGGTTCTGTGTCGTGCGAAGCGGCGTCAGTAGGCGTAGATTTTTCGGTACGTGGCGGCAGGCATTGGCTCGCAAAGAGAAAGGCTGTAGAGCGGGCTGACTACCCACATAACAGCGCGCTGCTTAGAAGGCCGACGGAAAATTTAATGTCAAGTATACATGGAATTGGTTTCGCGGCATTAAACGACAATGTCGGTACGGACAAACGGAGCGTCCCTGCTTCTTGGTTCTCCGCCGATTGCGCGCCTTGGAAAACAACCGCAGCGTGCATCGGCAACGATCGAGCCTGATTAGAAAATACTCGAAGATAAGGAAGATTTTATTCCAATAATAGCTGACGTTTAAAATTTGTTCGGTTAGCTTCTCGTTAAATGTTACGTTATCGAAGCGTCGATGAAATTAATTCGAGTCTACCAACATTTTTATGAAAATTAAGAAAGAACTTTGCCCATCTTCAGAGATACACCAATTTCGCGAGGATTGCATAACGCGCGTCGTCGCTGGAAGAGCCGCTAAGGCGTCGACACCAGCCCTATCTAATCTGCGACTTTCGACTGCCATCTTGAAACACGAAACACGAAGCCGTGCCTCAGGATTATCTAACGAATTTCTAAACCGTCCGTAAGCCTCAAGGTCCGGCGCGATCGTCTCTTTTACAGTGATCCCCTTCTCCGTCGTCTCCTCTCCTCTCCGAAGTTTTGAAACTAGGCGCGAAAAAGATAGCCTCGCCCGATGATAAGATAGACCAATAAAGAGATAGATAGAGAGACGTTTCGATGTTTAGTTATCCTATGGAGGCTCGATAGGTGACGATTTATCGCGTGGAACCGACGAAAATGGAATTTTCGTTCCAACTTAAAATGGCGTAACCTTCGAAGAGAACCATATTTTTTTCGGCGGTGACTCCGCCGGCCAAACTCTAGACCGAACCGATATCGTTCATCGTAAGTTTTTAATTCACGCACTGTTTCGCGCGTTCAAGCGTGCAACGAGAGAAGACGTAGGGGAAAAAGATACGTCTGTGTGCGCTTACGAGTTCTGACAATTACTCGAGGTAAGAAAGAAAACGAGGGGATCAAACGCGGCCAGATAAAAGTTATAATCGCGTTTATCGTGTGTACACCCATTAATGAGAACTTCACGGTCAATTTAACAAGATTTTACGATACCCGTAGCCGCGGGAAACGGCGCGCGGTGCATTTTCAGGTAATAAATTAATATCCGTTCCCGCGAATGTAAATTTCGAAACGCGCCGCGGAGTCGCACCGATCTCGCGGGTTCGAGGAGAACGCCCCGAAAGACGAGAGTTCTTTTGTTCCCCGCTGACGTCCTCGGCCGTCGAGACGTATTTATTGCCCGTCGATCTCCAGAAAAAGCGAATAGAGCCGGTTAGGCGCTGCGCCATCAGCGATTAACTTTTAAATTTCAAATCGCAGCAGCAACTGCATCAAATTGTCTCCTATTAAAAGTGTCATGGCCACGGTGGCGCGCGGAGGAGCAGGGAGATCAGCCGGGTTACCAAACGTGTGCGCGCGTTAGCGTGTGCGCTCGCCTGTTCTCGTGCAGGGATCGGATACGCTGCGATGGAAATGTACGACGAATGAAAAATCTTGACGTCGATGGAAACATACGACCAATGAAAAATCCTCCTAATTGTTCTCTCGAGTCTTTGGTTACTTCGAACTCCGTGCAAATTTACATACGCGCGTATTCCGGATACGTGTTGTTGCTCTGCTTTTTTTGTTTGTTTCTTTTTTACTGTTTTTTAATGTTGAAGGAGGAAAAATACAAAGAACAGACAGAACATCATCTCACGGTTAATTGTTTCGCACGAATCGAACACGGTAGCGAATAATCGCCGGTGTTTTCGAGCAGTTCGGGAAACGAAGTTCGATCGCCGCGCGTTTTCCAAGAACTTCGTGACGAAGCATTCTTAAATTGGATTCTAGCCGGTTCGTGTTCCGCGAAGAAAACTCGGAACGGGGCGGGAGAGCAAGGAAATCGATAAAACTCGCATGTAAGAATGCATTAAGGCGATCTATGACCGTAAGACAAAGCAATGCGACTGAAACAGGTTCCGGGGGAACCAGAACGTGTACGCGTCGCTGTATAGTAAATACGTATCGCGGCTTTACGAAATGAGCAACCGTTCTCTCTAAAGATAGAAGTTGATGTCTTCGAGTAACGCAACACGTAGCCTCTAAATCAGACTACGGTGACAAAACAAAGGCGACATCGCAGAAACTTTCGATCGCCTCGGAAGAATATACGAAATCTTGAACGAAGCGACGCCGACATGGGAACAGAGGCTCGTTCGTGAAAAGACGATGTAACCTCCGAATGAAGTTATACGCGTCGTATATGCACCGGGACGGGTCGATCGTTAATAACCGTGCACAGAGATCGCTGGAAGGAACGGCAATCGATGCTATCTACGAACGAAATTTAAATACGGCGTGTACGGGTACAGATACGTTTGTTTGGTCGCTTGTTCTTTCTATTCTTCTTTGATAATTTTTTTAAGATATTCATTTAAAACGTTATTGGTAAATTGAAGTAACATGGTCCGTAACGGAGGAAAGGTACTTTTGCCAAGTTCGGAAGAGTATCCCGGCACGCGAGACGGATCGATCTCGTCGTCTCGCTCGGCTCGGAAGTTGTCGAGTGCGAAAAGTCCAAATCTCTCGGCTACATAGCCAGCAGCGTGTGTACCGTTCCGCGTAGCGAACACACAAGCTCGAGTAAAGAGAGTCATCACGGTAGTCGAAACGCGCAATTGGAGCAACGATCGCGAGGCATCGTCGAGGAAGACGACGAGTGCAACGGGTAACGGCAACGGCAACGGCAACAAGAACAACGATAGAGACTCGGCCGGCGGTGCAATGGTGCGGAGTTTCGCGATTCTCGCGACGACTGCTCGTAGGACAGAGCAGCAGTTGGTTCGTGTGCTCGCAAGTGCTCGTAACTCGCTGTTCCTAGAGGAGACGA